GCAGTTAGACAAAAACAAACTTTAGTTTTCTTTCAAAACGAATTTCAGTCATCATGCTACTAGTATTTGGTTGGAATAAGGACTTGAAATTGTGTAATGATTTTTGACTTGTCAACATATGTGTCATCTTTATATGATAGCTAGGTGATTTTAATCCATTGTTTTGATGGCAGCAAGAGCAAAACTCCCTCATTTCACAAAATCATTTGATAACAGATGAGAGTAGAATTTGTACAGCTTTTTGCTGGTGAAGGGCAAGTTTGGTCAAAGATTACCGTAATTTTCTAAGATTTTTTGGTTGAAATCATATATCATTTCTTTTGTCCTGAAGTCTGGAGTTATCTTTAGCAAGGTTGGCATCATTAATGCTGTCTGTAAGCAAGGAAAAACTATGAATCCATGTTCAAACTGTGAAATTATTTGAACAGTGAAAAAAAAGTCTGTAGTGTTTCCAGATGTCTGCCAGTTTCTGCTTCCGGATAAATAAATGAGGGTTTGTCATTCTTGGCTGCAGTCTATAGAAGCACTTCCTCCAGTAATGCAAAGTTCTAATGGCTGTCTTCTTCCAGTGGGTAAATAACTCTATTTTCTTTAAACAGCATTCTTAATGGTGACCATGGGGTTCCTAAGTTGAAAGGCTTACTTTCAAGAGCCAAAAAAAAAAAAAAAAATCTCTAAATAATCTAAGCAGTAGATGAGTAAAAATAAAATAAGAGATTTCTACTTCCAGCCAGAGGATGGGGAAGACTTTTAATTCTGATCAGCCAGAGTTGAGAAACCTCACTGAAAAAGCCTGAGTGTTCAGTAGAGGTACCAGAAAGGTCACTCCTCAGGAGTAGGGCTAAAGTAACCCTTTAATAAAGAATACTCTAGGCCTGCCTTAACAAAGCTTAAAAGTAAGGCTTTAAAAGATCATGCTGATATACAAGTAAATTAACTGCCTCCCCAAGCAAAATTCAACATTTATTAAGGAAGATAACAAAATCCAGTCATTCAACAACATGCCATTTCATGATGTCTAGCACACAGTAGAAAATTACCAGACATGCAGAAAAGCAGGGAAATGCGACACATAACCAGGAGAAAGTAAGTCGGTAGAAGCAGACCCAGAAATAAGGTGGTGAAATTAGACAAAAAAATTAAGACAGCATTATAACCATAGTCAAGGATTTAAGGAAAATTATGAACATAATGAGAGAATAAACGGAATCATAATAGAGAAAGGGAAACTATAAAACGAGCGGATTCAAGGACTGAAAAATACAGTAGCTGAAATGAATAATCCATGTCATGGTCTTAATAACATATTAGATACTAGAGAAGAAAAGATAAGTGATTTTGAAGTTAGGGCAAAGAAACTTTAAATTATCCAGAAGAGAAACAAAAAAAGCTGGAAAAAAATTAGTTGTCTCAGTAACCTGTGGGGCAGTGTCAATCAGTCTAACATATCTGTGATCAGAGTTGCAGAACAAGAGAAGAGAGAAATTGGGGTAGGAAAAATACTTGATGAACCAGGGGTAGAAAATTTCCAAATTTAACGTAAAGTAAAGCCTTACAGATCCAAGAAGTTCAACAAACCCCAAGTGGGATAAACATAAATAAAACCACAGCAAGGTAAGTCATAATCACATTGTTGAAAACCAGTGGTGCAGAGAAAATCATACAAGCAGCTGGAGAAAAGAGACATTACAGGGACCCAGTCATAAGAATAATCATTGACTTATTAGACCAAGAGACAGAAAGGACCACATAAACCAGAGACTTCATCAGCATGAGACCAGAAGAACTGGATGGTGCCCATCTACCACCAATGACTGCTGTGACAGGGAACACAACAGAGAGTCCCTGATGGAGCAG